ATGACACCCAGCAGTATTTCATTCTGTTGTATGTAGTATTGCTATGAGTCGGAGCCCACTTGATAGAACCTAACAACAACAAAAATGTGCAATTCTAGGTTATATTTTTTATTTATCATAAAACCAAACCACTGGTGTTGTGTCGGATCTGACTCATAGAGATCCCTCTTTGGGTTTCTGAGGTGGTTATCACTACAGAAGTAGATTGCCCAATCTTCCTTCCAAGGAGTAGCCAGTGGGTTTGAACTGCCAGCTTTCTGGTTAGCAGTCACATGCCTTAGGCACTATGCCACCAACTTAGCTGCCCATTGTTGTTGTTGTTGTTGTTATGTGCCATTGAGTCAGACTTGACTCATAGCAACCCCTCCTTGGGTTTCCGAGGTGATATCACTATGGAAGTGGATTGCCCAACCTTTCTTCCTAGGAGTGGCTGGTGGATTTGAACCACCAGCCCTCTGGTTAGCAGTCAACTGCCTTAGGCACTATGCTACCAGAGCTGCCTAGCTGCCCACTAATCCCCATAATTTCTCAATTTGAGAAGAGAGAGCTAAAATTCAAGAAGAAAAGGCTGATAAAATTACTTTTTATCTTTTCTTTTTTTTTTTTTTACCACAATAAATATTTCTTTAGCTTCTTCATTTATTGAAAGTACCTTCACCATCTACATGACAAGTATCTATAAATAGTTTCAATCATTTATTTCATCACTGGTTTTCTCATAAAAAAATAAATAAATAAAATAAAGTAAAACCTCACTGCCATTGAGTCAGATCCAACTCATAGCAACCCCTTCTTGGGTTTCTGAGGCAGTATCACTATGGAAGTAGATTGCTCAACCTTCCCTCTGAGGAGTGTCTGGTGGATTTGAACTTACAGTCTTCTGGTTAGCAGTCAAATGCCTTAGGCACTACACCACCAGAGCTCAGAACCATGCTGCTGACTAGGCTTCAGAGATGCACAGAGTACCTGGCACATGACTTCTGTTAAATGAGCAGCATGATCTCTGCCTTCTCAGAGCTCAAATTGTCCTGATCAAAAGAAAAATGATAACAGGTCATTATCTAGAATGTTGGAAGTTCTAACATGTAAGGTCAAAGATCTTTATTTTATTCTATGATGTATTCAAAGCACCTAATAGAGTTACTAAGAATTAGTATGTGCTTAATAAACTTGTGTTGATTTGAAAGAAGTGCTATTAGAACCTGACTTGGGAATTATTATTTGTTTTTATTTTTTCCTGAGAGATCATGGATCTGCCCAAACACAAGCAAAGGCATTGCTGTGATACTACAAAGCTCACTATATATGTTCGGTGGACTACATAAAGTTTCATATGCTTAAAATATTGGTATAAAATTTGGGAATGAGAAGAGATGAATTTGCAGTATAGTAAGAAACCAGATCAATAGTATTTTTATTTTGCCTAAAGAGTTTGGAATCTTACAAAGTTTTGAGTAAAAACATACTTTGTCAGTTGTAAATTTTGAATGTCTCTGGGTCCCAGGGTATACCACTTCTCATTTGAGTTGTTCATTTTTCAACAAGGTTGTTGCTGAGTTGGTTGGTAAGCTAATCATGTTGTATATTCTTTATTCATAGCTCTACCAGCAAGACAAAAATAAGAATTGTATTTTACATTACCATCTAGCACACGCACAAACACACAATGAAATAAAAAATTATCTTTTTAATTAAACAAACAAACAAAATAACAATAAATTCACTGCTGTCAAGTTGATCCCAACTCATAGAGACCCATCCTTGGGTTTCCAAAGCAGTATCACTATGCCCAATCTTCCTTCCCAGGAGTGGCTGGTGGGTTTGAACCGCCAGCCTTCTGGTTAAATAAGGGTTACTAATAACTCTGTGTACTTTCTCCTCAACTACTTTCTATATGACTTTTAAAACTACTGATTTTTGATGATTAAATTGGTCCTATAACCCAGTGAATAAGTGTTATAATTTCAAAATCACAGTCTTAGGTGAATTTGTCCAGAGAAGGAAGAGCTCAGTTAAAAAATAATATTAAAAGAAATAGTACCACTAATAGAGTGCTTTCTATGTAACAGGCACTATTTTGAGCAATTTACAAATGCTAATGTATGTTATCCTCCCAACTGTCCATTTTCAGATGAGAAAACTAACACAGAGAGGTTAAATAACTTGTCGAAGGTCACTCAGCCACCAAATGAAGAAACGGCACTCAAACTTAAGTTCTTTGGCTCCAGAATCTGTAGTCTCATCCACTACACAGTATTGCCTTTTTAAAATCTAATACTGTTAGTTTTTATTTTGACTTACAAATTTTCCTTACTAGAACTTATTAGAACTATATATTCATACACAGATCTTTTACAGTAGAGTAAATTTTCAGAAATGCCAGCACTGGAATAAATTGAATTCATGTATTTAAGAGTCCTGATGAATTTCTTTGCATATTTTTATAACTAATTTAGAATCCCATTACCAAACATTTTTTGTTACTTATCATATAATCCACATCACTACTAATTCAATGAGTGTAAAAGGACTCTTGGATTAATTTTAATTTGCAGAACACTTTAAATAAAGCAAAATAATTCTTATATGTTTGATGCATTTAATAAATTATATGCTTATTTCCATTTTCTCCTTTAGAATTTTAGTTTTTTTCCAGCAGTCAGTAATAAGTTATTTATTAATATTAACATTTTGATGGATATATTTTTTATAAGTCATGTCTGTGAATTATTTTTCTAGAAAATTATTAATTTCTTCTGGACTTTTAATTTCTTTACAAAGATTTGTGTGAAAGTTTCTATTATGAAATTTGAAAATGTCTTTGAAATTGTTATTTACTTTGTCATATTGTACTATGTATATTTGTGCCTTCTTTTATATTTTCCTGAATAAATTAGTGTTTTTTTTTTTTGTAGTGTAGTGCCTAAGGCATTCGACTGCTAACCAGAAGGCTGGCGGTTCAAATCCACCAGCCACTCCTCTGAAGGAAGATTGGGCAATCACTTCCGTAGTGATACTGCTTCGGAAGCCCAAGGAGGGGTCACTAGGAGTCGGGTCCGAATTGATACCAGTGAGTTTGTTATTTTGGTATATTTTTCAAAGAATCAATGTATATGTATATGTATGTATATATTGTAGTATTTGTGCTTTATTTGCCATTTTAAGTGTATTATTTAATTACTTTCCATTTTTAAATTTGTGATTTTTTTCAAACTTTGTGACATTTTGTTATTTCATTTTATTTTTTTCATTTTTATTGATATAAATATTTAAATCTAAGAACTTTGCCCTGATTGCTGCTTTAATCTTAAAATAAAAACCTTCACTGCCATTGAATAGATCCCTACTCATAGCAACCCTTTTTTGGGTTTCCAAGGTACTATCACTACAGAAGTAGATTGCCCAATCTTCTTTCCCAGGAGTGGCTGGTGGGTTTGAACCACCAGCCTCCTGGTTAGTAGTCAAATGCCTTAGGCACTACTTCACCAGAGCTCCTTAGCTCATATAATATAGGCACTATCTAGTTCTTCAGGTCTCATAGTCATATAGGCTGAAGATTGCATGGTGTACCAGTCCCTTGGACTAATTGTTTCCATGCGTCTTTGGTTTTCTTCATTCTTCTTTGCTCTGGACGATGAGAGACCCATCATTATATTTAGATGGCCTCCTCAAGCTTTTAAAGTTCCAATTGCTACTCGCCAAAGTAGGATGTGGAACAATGTTTTTGTGTAGCATGTTATGCTAATTGTGCTTGATGTCCCCTGCCACCATGGTCGAGCGCCCACAGGGCCAACTACTTTCTCCCTCTAGGTATCTGTCTGTGGTCAAGAAGTGACTATAACTTTGTCCCTTGTGAGCTGTACTATATACCTGTAACTTCTTACAGAACAAACAAATACACTTGTAGAAACATTGGAAAGAGACTTTTATTTCATTGGTCATTGGTAATTTCAATAAATTGGGATCAGGGAATGTTTATATAATTTCAACACTGTGACATTGTATGAAGCTTTATTTATGACATAATGCATAGTCAATATTAACCAATATTTCATGTACCTTGAAAAGAAAGTGTATACACCTCTTTAGTAGAATACAAAGTTCTATATATACTGATAAAATACTCTGTACTGATTTTGTCCTTTAAGTCTCCCATTATTTGTGTGTCTGCTTGTTTCTCCTTATAAATATGTTCTTGTTGTGGTTGTTAGTGCCATTGAGTCAGCTCTGACTCATAGTGACTCTATGTACAACAGAACACAATAATGCCCAGCTGTGTGCCAGCCTCACAATCCTTGCTCTATTTGAGCCCATCATTGCAGCTACTGTATCAATCCATCTTGCTGAGGGCCTTCCCCTTTTTCACTGGCCCTCCACTTTACCAAGCATGATAACCTTCTCAAGGGAATGGTCCCTTCTGGCAACATGACCAACGTAGGTGCAAAGAAGTCTGACCATTCTCATTTCCAAGGAGCATTCTGGCTGCACTTCTTCCTGGACAGATTTGTTTGTTCTTCTGGTAATCCATGGTATTTTCAGTATTCCTTGCTAAAACTGTAATTGAAAAGCACTAGCTCTTCTTTGGTCTTTCTTATTCATTGCCCAGCTTTCACATGCATATGAGGCGAATGAGAATACTCTGGTTTAGGTGAGGCACACCGGAGGTCTTTAAAACAACATCTTTGCTCTTCAACAGTTTAAAAGGATCTTTTGCAGTAGATTTACCCAGGGCAATATAATGACTGATTTCTTGACTGCTGTGCCCATGAGAGTTGATTGTGAATCCAAGTAAAATGAAATCTTCAACAACTTCAATATTTTCTCCATTTATTTTGCTGCTGCTTATTGGTCCAATTGTGAGTATTTTCATTTTCTTTATGTTGAGGTGTAATCTATACTCCAGACTGTAGTCTTTAATCTTCATCAGTAAGTGCTTCAAGGCAAACAAGGTTGTGTTGTCCATGTATCTAAGGTTGTTAATGAGTCTTTATCCAATCCCGATGTCTCATTCTTCTTCATATAATCCAGCTTCTCGAAATATCTGCTCAACATATAAATTGAATAAGTATGGTGAAGAGATAGAACCCTGATGCACTCCCTTCCTGATTTTATACCATGCAGTATCACTTTTTTCTCTTTGAATGACAGCCTTTTGGTCTATGTACAGGACCATTATGGGCACAATTAAGTGTTCTTGGATTCACATTCTTCTGAAAGTTATCCATAATTTGTTTTTTTATATTCTGTGTCTTACGAAGTTTGCACCTGTGGTTTTTAGAACAAGTATCATGTCTGTTATAATTTTATTGTGAATTGTAGCTGCTAGCATTAAAAATATCTTTTGTTTTGGTTATTCATTTAATTCTCTTGACATGAACTTCAAATTTCCAGATACAAAAATCACAACCACTACTTTTAAGATTTGTATGAAATTGGTGCAATATACTTACGTGCTTTTTTTTTTTCTCTTTCTGAATCTGTTAGTAATAAAATTGTCTCTTATCTAATGAAAAGCATTAAGTTTTATTTTCAGAGTCTGATTATTTTTTACCTTTAGTCACTTTTTCTAAGAAACCAACTAAACTAAATCAATTGCCCTTGAGATTACAACGATTCACAGAGTAGAGCTACCCCCATAGAGTTTCTAATGATGTAATCTTTATGGAAGCAGATTGCCACATCTTACTTCCATGAAACAGCTGGTGGCTTTGAACCTCCAATCTTTCACTTAGCACTTTCAGTTAGCCACTGCACTATCAGGGCTCCTTTTATTTTTCTAAGATGCTCATTGTTTGGATTATCATTGTTAAATGGCAGCCACTGAATCTCATCTATTGTTTTTCTTTTTATTCAGCAATAAGTAAGCTTTTTCTACTTTATTAATTCTCTTTTCCCTTTCTTCTTAGTTTTGAAAATGTGTTACTTTTTTTTTCTTTTCAAATACACAACATTTATATACTATATTTCCACCATTATACTCATTTCTTTTGGTCTTGGATTCCTAGTCGCATATCTTTATTCAGTGCCCACAAGTAGTTCTTTGGCCAAAGGACTCATCAACTCTGTGTGGAGGGAGCTCTTCATTTAGTGACTTCATCAAGAAGAGCTGCTGGTTTTAATATTCATGGAGTTGCCTTAGGCACTACACCACCAGAGCTCCCTCAAGGAGTTTTAGCATGTTTCAATTTCTTTCTATAGCTCTGTACATGAAAATCTGAAAGTGAAATGTGAATTCCTTGAAAATATCAACACTTTTCAATTGAGGAGGAGAACTACCATACCCTCTTATATCCGTGTACCTGAATATGGTTTACCTTTATCCTTCCTCTCTATAGGTCATGGCAGAAAACCTCACCATGGTCACTGAGTTCCTGTTGTTAGGTTTTTCAAGCCTTGGTGAAATTCAGCTTGTCCTCTTTGTGGTTTTCCTCTTTCTGTATCTGATCATTCTGAGTGGCAATGTCACTATCATCAGTATCATCTGCCTCAATCGAAGCCTCCACACACCAATGTACTTTTTCCTTGGAATTCTTTCCGCCTCTGAGACTTTCTACACCTTTGTCATCCTACCCAAGATGCTTGTCAATCTACTTTCTGTGGCCAGGACAATATCCTTCAATTGCTGTGTCATTCAAATGTTCTTTTTCCTTGGTTTTGCTATTACCAACTGCCTGCTATTGGGTGTGATGGGTTATGATCGTTATGCTGCCATTTGTCACCCTCTGCATTACCCAATCCTTATGAATTGGCAGGTGTGTGGAAAACTGGCAGCTGCCTGTGGGGTTGGTGGTTTCTTGTCCTCTTTTATGGTAGTAAATTTAGTTTTTAGACTTCCTTTCTGTAATGCCAACAAGATCAACCATTACTTTTGTGATATCTCACCAGTCATTCGTCTGGCTTGCACCAATACAGATGTTCATGAATTTGTCATCTTCATCTGTGGAGTTCTAGTACTTGTGGTCCCCTTTTTCTTCATTTGCATATCTTACCTCTGCATCCTGAGGACAATCCTGAAGATTCCCTCGGCTGAGGGACGGAAGAAAGCCTTTTCTACGTGTTCCTCTCACCTCACTGTTGTCTTTGTTCACTATGGCTGTGCTTCCTTCATCTACCTGAGGCCGACAGCAAGCTATGTCTCCAATAAAGACAGGCTGGTAACAGTAATATACACCATTGTCACCCCATTACTAAATCCCATGGTATATAGCTTCAGAAACAAGGATGTCCAGTTTGCAATCAGAAAAGTGTTAGGAGAGAAAGGACCTCTAAAATTATATAAATGAAATAGTATTTTATTTTAGATGCCATAATAACTAATTCATTTCTTTATCACATGTGCATTATAATTATAACCAGTTTTTGAAATAATGGTTTCATAATGAGGTGCACACCATAAAATATATTTTGGTTTCATTTTCCCTTTAAATTCAATATTTTGGCTAAAGCTTTTTAGCTTTTTAGATGGAATCTCAAGGATGTCCATATGTAATTTCCCTGTCCACTGTAATAACTGAAAATCTAAATAAATTTCATTTGAAGTTAATTTTTTTTCCTTTCTTCTGGTGTTGGTCTTCTGTAAGTCAGGAAGGCTACACTGAGATCAAGGTAAGGGAGGGATTCCATCTTTTATATTAGCTCTATGAGCTACCATTTTTATTGCTACTAATTTCAGTGCTTGACCCATAAAGAATTACAGATTAGAGAGGGAGAAAAAGTAGCTGAAGAACTTTTTTTACTTAACTGCCACTGAAGTGTTCTGGCAATAGTCTTCTCATGTTTTAGCTGATGTTGCACACTGAATCTGTCTCACATGGGGAGATTTCATGGGCTTCTGGAAGATTACCCTAGTACAAATGTTTACCACAATTCTTATAGTAGGTGAGGACAGTTCTGGTTCACAGTTTGTGAATTTGTCTCAATTCTGAGAATCCACCGCTTATCTGGATCCTGTCTCTTCTGGAGATCTTCTTGGGAAAATCCCTTTTAAATGATTTCAGAATCGCTTTCTCTTCCAACTGACACATATCAGTCCAAAAGGGAAATTCGCATACCTTTGCCTACACAATGAATTGCAGTGCAGATATCTTTCTCTTGGTTCTAAAACTTCAGGTCAATAGCCATAGAATCATACCTTCAGAAATCTTATGTGGAATCAGATATACATCCACTCCGTTCCTTTATCTCTAAGGCCTACATGTCAAAGCCTGAAAATGGTTCCCTCCTTTTGGGGGATATAAAGCAATAAAAACTCCAATATTTTTACCTAAGAACATATTCTTCTCATTTTTACCTTGCACTTTTTTTCTTTGAGAGTAGCTGAAGCATTTTCTAAGCTCAGCTTTTGTGTTTCAACTAAAATTAAGAAAACTTTCATTATTTACATGTTACACTAATGCCTGTTTTTCCTCTAGAATAAGGTGTTATAATAGTGGTCATGTGTTGAGTTCAGAAGGTTACTATCTGCATAAAGAGTGAAGTAGTTGACTTGACCAGCTTCAAGAGTAAGACAGACATGACAAAAAGACCTTAAAGTAAACATCTACTTAAAAAAAAAAAAAAAAAAATTGGCTAGTGAAAACATTAAGGAACTTTGGTGGTTCAGTGCCTGAGGCATCAGACTGCTAATCAGAAGGTTGACAGTTCAAACTCACCAGCCACTCTGTGGAAGGAAGAAAAGGCAATCTACTTCTGTGAAGATTTATTACCTTAGAAACACAATGGGGGTTGCTATCAGTCGGAATCAACTCAATGGCAGTGGTTTTTTTTTTTTTTTTTTCATAGCAACTATATATTGTTGTTTTTGTTGTTAATATGCTGTCAACTCAGACCCAAATCATAGTGACCCCTCCTTGG